GTGCAAAAATTTCACACACACTTTTGCAATGCCCCAACAGCGATAACAAGAATTGTAAGATACGTATTTTAACAAGTACAAAGCATAGAAGATTACTGCACACAATTTTTGGTTAAGTAGCAAAGTCACAGCCTAGTCAGACATGTCTGAAGTATATAGAAAAACCAATTATGCAATTAACGTGAGCTACCCAGACATGTGAATGGTTATGAGAGAATGGGTTATAAAACATGCTTGTGAGACAGGAATATGAGGGGGGGAAAAAAGACCAAATAGATGGCTAGATAGGCATGCTTATTAGTATGATGTTATTAGGTAACAGGCTATCTGTAAACATGCCTAGCGGGTGTAAGTAAAAATGATAAAAATATAAAATTATTTTAAAAATAGTTAAACATGCTGGATCATCTAATAAAACTATAAAGCTATGTTGCCACTGGGTCCTATTGAAATGTATTGGGCGAAAGACTTTACATATTGTAAATGAAAGGTAACATGTCAAGTATGACAAATGGTGTCCACTATACTCAGGTGGGGCTCAGACTGTGGGCCAGCATACAGTGAGGGAAGCGTGGTCAGCCGACTCCACTAATCGGCAAGCTCAGGGTGTGCACAGAAAGTTTGCAGAGGCTCTGTTTCCCCTTGTGCTGGATTGAGGGTACAGTCGTTGTATGGGTAGGGAAGCTCGGGCACAAGACGACGGCTCCATGCTTGGGTGAAGATTTCTTCTGACCCCAGGCCTGTAGGAGGGCCTGCTCTGTAGCTCCACGGCTTCGAGCACTCCTGGACGGGCAGAGGCTCTGAATGGTGCAGTCTGCCGTCGGCGCTTGATCTTCTGCGCATGGGGTTGCTGGATCGAGGCAGCGCATCTGGTGGCTCTCGGCCCAGGTAGGTAGGGAGCCATGTCGGAAGGCAGTTGTGTGTCTGGAGCACTTTGGTCGGGTCCCAGTTGCTTCAGCATTGTAGCTTGAGGGGTATTTAGCCGTGGTTGCGTGCTGAAGCGACGCCAGAACTCCTGGCAGAGTGCCTCGAACCTGGCATTAAACTATTCCCTCCACTGCTGTATCTCAGGGCTTGGTCTGCTGTGCAGAGTACCCACTGCTGCGGCCATCTTGGCTTGGCCACGCGGCTTTTAGGACTCCGTCTGTGCTGTTGTCGGATGCTAGATTTGGATTCCCAGTGGTGACTGGGATAACCCCTGCCGGTCCAAGGGGGGAAACGGGGCTCCTGAAGTGAAGCACTATGTGACAGGCACCACTTCGGGAGATCAGCCACCTCTCGCCTTGGCCAGCGCATGCTCAGGTAGGCATCTGATAGGAATACAGTTGCTGCTCAACAAGGGGGTCCGGTCTGGGTCGGACAGCTTTCTCTTGGCTTGCTTAAGAGTCAGCTTGGAATTTAGAATCTCGGTTAGCAGGGATTTTTGCTTGAAATCACTTGAATTTAGCTCAAGTCAGCAGGAGGTAGAGAGAAACACGTCCAGACGGCTTGGACATCAGGCCCCACCACCCAAGTTGGCTATTTTTAACTAAATTTTGGGCATTTCAGTTTTTAAGGTGATTAGTAATTAAAGTGGTTGTCTTTATTGGGATTATTGTAGCCACCTCTGTTTTAGTCATATAAGCGCATGAAAACACCACACTGACATTTTGTGTGTTGCTTTTTTTTAAAACAAAATGATCAGATTAAGTTCCAAACAGAATTTTCATGCCAATAGTTTTAACAAACGAGCCATGAGACACACATAGTGTATGATTTGTACAGCATCTGGAAAGCACTCTGCAGTGATAGCCTCTTCACAATATTCATTTTGACAATCAAATTACAACAGAAAATGGTTGCCAAGTGTTGGCTGCAGCTCAGAAAAATTCCAGGCACAATATGGACATGACATTTATTGCATAATGACATTCATATTTTATGAGAGTAAAAAAATAAATAAAAATCGAGAATTACAGAGCTCTGAAACCAATGATTTTTTTTTTAATCACTAACTGAACTTTTTGCTTCAAGCACAAACAATAAAATGGAACAAAAAAAAACAAATTTTTTTGAGCTAGTGGTATACATTACTTAGAGTTGGGACATAATTGAGGTAGTGTGGGCAAATGAGACCTGCGTTAGGGTGTGCCCAGGCACACCTACTAATCTCTTACAGAACAAGGCAAACGCATACCTACCAACTACCTGGGTTATCCTGGAGAAAACTCCAAGTTTTAATCACTGCTTCCAGTCTCCTGTGTTTGTTTTCTGGAGCGTTAATTATTGGGATAGAAGATAAAAAATTCTAGTAAAAACCTGTGTGAGCTAAACATCAATAAACATGCTAGCTTTAGTGAGGTTATTGAGAGGAAATTTGTCTCTCATTGCTGAAAGATGGTCAGCCCCCTTTGGATGGCTTACTGGGACAACACACTGCATTCACAGGCTTTGTGTATCGCCAATATTATACAATCTCTGGCAACCCCGCACTCCGTCCCTACCCCTCTCACACACCAATTTCATAACTCACATTATTAGGACATATGCAAATTATATGCACTAAACTGTGACAGTGGATCTTGTGGTGGCAAAATGTGGGTCCAGCTTCAACCAGCTTTAAAGGGGTTACCCCACCAAACAAAAACAAGCGAGGCAGAGTTCTCCTGTAGTCAGATCAAACTCTGCAACATCATTCCCCCTCACTGGAGGGGAAGGGATGTAGGGCAAGCACATGGGCAGCACGGAGCATTCAGCCATAATATGCATGTTGCCAGAATGATGTACATGCAGATATCAGACATCCTTTATGAACAGAATTAATATTAGCCAGCTTGGAACTCTTGTCCAAGGAGACATAATGCTGGCTAATGACAGCTCAATGATGCCGCCATTAGTTAAGGATTAGCATTAGGACTTTAGTCTTGGGAGGTACCTTGACATGTTGGTAAACATTCCATGTCATATCTGTTAGTTGTATCCAAACCCTTCATTTGTTCAACAAAATTAAGTCGTATTTTTACAGCTGTGCAACAGCATACATTCACCATTTCAGTCCCATTCACAGAGTTTATATACATACAAACACACAAACAGGGTTATTCACTAAACATCACATTTTGGCAAATAAAATATAAATAGATAATTGAGGCTAAAATGACCAAACTGTGGCTATGGTTAGGAAGGAGAATTCTCCAAATCAGCGATTTAAAGGGACACTCTGAGCACCAATACAACTTTAAAGGGACTCTCCAGTTCCAGGAAAACTGATTGCACTGCAGGTCCCCTCTCCCTCCCACCTCCCATCCCCGGTTGCTGAAGGGGTCAAAACCCCTTCACTGACTTACCAGAGGCAGCGATGATGTCCCTCGGCGCTGCTTCCTGGTCCGCCCACGCTCCTCCCTGTCACCACGTCAGCCGGCGGGGGAGACCTCCCCATAGGAAAGCATTGAAAATGCTTTCAATGCTTTCCTATGGGGATTTTAGCGACGCTGGAGGTCCTCACATAGTGTGAGGACGTCCAGGGACGCTCTGTGCTATAATCCCGGAAATGCCCTCTAGTGGCTGTCTAGTAGGAGTTAGCCCTGCAAGGTAATTAATGCACATTTTATAAACTGCAATAATTACATTTGCAGGGTTAAAGGTAGTGGGAGTTGGCACCCAGACCACTCCAATGGGCAGAAGTGGTCTGGGTGCCTGGAGTGTCCCTTTAATGCATTTGATAGCTTTTGGCCTCATTAATAAGCTGTATTTTTCAATGCTGACATCTTTATAGTTTTTGCACCAAAAAAGAAAGAATGTTTTGCAAAATGCTGCACCATAAGTCTGCCTTTTTAGTTAAACCCCCTCACAACAGAAAAATACTTCCTTTATAAATGTATGTACACAGCTCAACCACTGACAGTACTGAATAATCGAAACTATAAAACAACCTGCATTAGAAGGACAGGACACTACAACCTGTTTGTAGTATATCGGATTGTCTGCAGACAGGTTATGAATTAAACACTGCTCACTCAGTGTCACACTGAGCATGCCTACCTTTGGAAGGAAGTCTTTCTGGCACGAGGGGGCATGGCTAACAAGGCAGGCTTATGGTGCAGAATTCTGCAAAAATTTATTTATTTTGTGCAAAAACTATAAAGATTTGAGCATGTAAAAAACAAAAACAACGCCTTTTAATGAGGTCAAAACCTAACTAGGACATTAAAGTTGTATTGGTGCCTTTTGAACCTTATTTTGTTATTTGGATTAAATTTGCTAAAATTTGCCATTAAGTGAATAGTCCTCTCTGATCATATTCGCCAATTAAAGGATCCTGTGCCCTAAAAATAAAATAAAATAACTATCACACACACACAACAAACTGTCTTAGTCTGTGGGTATGAGTTTTGCATCAAAACGTTGATTTAAAAGCACCTCGGGTTAGTTCTTACATTTTTGACGAATTACAGTAGTGGGGGACATTCGTGTTTATAGCGTCTGAAGTGTTTCTTTAAGACATTAAAAGAAACAGCTTGACCAAGTGTACAGGGGTGGCCAAAAGGTAGCATCTTAGCATCTGTAAACCTACAATTTCCTTAAAGGTTTGCCAAACTAAGGGCTGACAATGCATCATGGGAGTTGTAGTTTAACAACATCTGGTGGTCTTCCTTTTGGCCATCCTTAGACAAGCTGAAGCCCACATGAGAATGTCTGAGTCCTTCCCCCTGCAGGTAACATGAGTCAGCCTGATTCCCTCCACATGCTCAGAACTCTGCTATTGTGTGTTCTATCAAAACAAGTTACCCAGGGGGCCCCACTGAGGGGGGATTCCAACACTATTTATCTGGAATAAAAACCTTCCAATGTATCTGTTTGTCAGACAGCAGTCACTGCCAGTGAGGGGAATGCACCTGGGATTCTCTGCCTGCAGAATGAGGAAATAGGGTCTGCAACAGTTTCAAACAGCAATCATAACAAACTACAAACAGCCCTCCTCCCCCTCCCTCAGCCCCCTCCCTTTCCTGTATAAAAGCAGACAGCAGCCTTGCTCTCTATAGTAAACAACCGACTGAGAGCACCATGGAGGTTATGTACAAAGCCACTTACCCCTGTGACAAACTGTCTCGCCCTCCTGCAGGTAGGTTCTCTTGTTAATGGTGTTTACAGAGCACAGAGCTTTAATATAGGGCTGTAACAGCAGTCAATCTATTGCAGATATTAACAGGGTAATAGGATAATATACAATATATCTGCTCCTAGAAGGGGGAGTGATGCTCAGGGTAACTGTTCTAACAGAGGGTGACTATGGGCTTTTATTCATGGTACAGGCAGAATTATGACTAGGAAGCTCCTAACAAGTCAGCTCTGCCATTAATCTCTGACTTCCCCTCTGCAGTATATGTAGGTATGCTGGGGGGGGCACTTTTCGTGTACTTACCACCAGTATGAACACATGGTATGTCCAATAAAAGGCACATCTGGCAACGCTAGATCTTAAGTGATTGATTTTTGAAAAGCTAAACTTTTGTGGCTTTTTTTTTTTTTTTTTTTCACCCAAAACTGTGGCAATACTGATCTGGGGTGACATTATTTAGAATGCTAAACCTATTAACCCCTTAATGACACATGTCATGATTCCCTTTTATTCCAGAAGCTTGGTCCTTAAGGGGTTAAACGTTATACTTGGCTCCTGCCTTGTCCGCTAGTTGGGTATGTTGCGTAATATCCTAGCATCACATGATGGCTCATTTAATACCTGAGATGGACAGAATGTTGTCTCTGCAGAATCTCTCGAGTTCTAATTGGCCAACATGCTTCCTTACACAAGGATAGGCTGGGTGTTAAAGGGACACTTCAGGCACCACAACAACTTGCATCAGTTGTCTTACAAAATCTCAGAGGGAAGCACCCTCTGTCTTTACGTACATGAGTGTGTACCATACAGGTCTTTCTGAGTAAATATCAATAAGAGCCTGTGAAAACTGACTTAGAGCTTCGTTTTAAGGATTTTCAACTGAGTGTGTGCAGAAAGTCCAGGGCTGCCTAATAAGCCACTCGACTAACAGAGCAGAAGATGTAAATGTATCTTGTATAAAACAAATATAGTACTTTTCAAATTTGTCTGCTCCATTCTGTGATTATGTATCCATTTCTTGGGTAGTATTTTGTAGCTCCAAGTATTGTGAGGTTGGTCTTAAGGTAGCACAGAGACCTAATGTTCTGGGCAGCCTAATATTGATGGGCTACTGAGAGCCATAAATAGCTGCTGGCTGTGAGTTACTCCCCTCAATCTCCATGGACAGGATGGATCTCTATGCTGCAATAAATTGTTTAAATTCCACAACCACAGGAATGGTTATGTACAATCTCTGCAATTGCAGTTTGTTGAAAAATCTAACTTTTTTTTTTTTTTTTTTATTAAAATGTAATGTAAAAGGGTTTCCTACTCTCCTTGTAATAAATTGTGTAATTTATATATTTTAGTACTTGTCTTGGGCTGTATTGTAGATGTGTCTAATGCATCTGTTTTATATAAACAGACACTTTGATCTTTATTGCTTTGAGTGACTGTATTGGTGGTGTGATCTTCAATAAGAGGACTGACAGAACTCCTGTACTCTAACTGAGAACCTCTGCCAAGTTAACTTCCCAGCTGCTACTGGGAATCCTGGAGCACTTTATCCCCAGTTGCTAAAGTTTGACTGGGGTTTCTGAGAACTTTTCCACTCTGAAACAGGGTACAGCTCTTTCCAGGCTGGTATTGTCCCAGCTGCCTCTCTAGCTACTGACTTTACGAAGGAACTTGTCTCTCAGGCCTAGCTCTTTTTAACTTGTCCCATGAATCTGGGACCAAGCAACAAGTCCAAAGACTGTTCCTGGGATCCCCAAATAAACGAACCAGGACACCGTTCCCAATGGAACTGACACACTTTGTTTTTTGTTTTTTTTCTTCTTCTCTGGGCTAGTCTGTCATTACATCAAACTTACGATGATAAAATTAATAAAAAAAAACAAATGATATAGGGAAACGTACAGGAAGTCGTATTAACACAATAACCTAGTTATTGTCTTCCCATCCCCTTATAAATAACACAAAATATCTCCCCTGCTTGCAGAATTGCATTACACAATCTGCACATATAATGGGCACCGGGTGACTAAAACATAAGGATAATTCTGGGACCTACGTAAAGTGTCCATCTTCTGCTCCCAGTGATGGTGACTGTCACACGTAGTCATTTTTGCTTTGACCCTAGGCCGCAGTTAACTTTATGAACCTGCTTAACGTTCTTCAATGTGACCCTTTTTCTTTAACACCACAGTAATAGTCAGGTTATGCCCCTTGTGTTTGACCTGGTTTCTGGTTCTCCTGACTCTACCATTCAATGAAATATCTCCAAGCCTATGTAAAAGTTGGCAAAACCATCTGACGCTACTAGTTTCCTGTATCTTGTGTAAGCACACTTACCATTGAGATGAGGTCTTTCGTTGCTGGCTGAGCCTGGTGGGATGTAAATTTAGAACACTACCCGTTGGTGTAGTTCCTCATGACCTGTTATCAGCCAAATATGTTGTCCTTTTATTCAACTGACAACCCCTATGTCATGTGTAACAGTAGCGCCTGTTCTGTCTTCTTTATTGAAAGACACAACCAGCACATATAGCTGGTATGAACTCATGTTGACAATTGCAATCAATCACAACTGTTGGCTTTGTAGCCATTTTTCACACTGTGTACACTACTGTCACCGTGCGTGAATGGAAGGATCTTCAAAGACTAGATCTCTAGCTGTCTCAGAGCATCTTCCTTGGGACTTCATAATTTGTACAATGTTATTGGAGAGGAGACTGCAACAGTGAGGGGTATGATTCTGTTGAGTGGACCATATTGATGTCTAGTCTGTTTTATGGATCAACTTGTGTATAAAGTCTACAAAACAACTCTCAAATGTTGTCTGTAACATGACAGGTGCACTTTAATGTGAAGAGGGGGGAGTTATCTATACATCGTTGTTTTTACTTTTACATTCCTCTGTACTAGCTAATACATGTTTGAGATTCGACTATTAGAACTGTTCCTCTCACAAGCCAATCAATCTTCAGTATAGGCTTTTATAGCTTATAACCAAGTGACTTTGTAGGTCAGTGGAACCCTCCTAAACACCATCCTCACATCTACAGCACATGTACTGAGATTTGTCTGGCAAACACCATACTTAGCCAGCAGACCATATAAAGAGTAATGGGTCTGCTGTTTGGGTACCACTTAGCAGGCAATGCAGTTTGACGTCATCATGTGGTTGCTGCATCCAACTTGGGGGAAAGTACTGCCGGCTAAGACCAACTGACTAGAGGTGGGGTGCATGCAACTCCCACAAACTCTATACAGATCATATACTCTACAGTGTTAAAGGGAGTCTCTGGATTAACATCTCCTAATGCAGTGAAATATAACAGTAATGTTGGTTACATAACTGAAGTCTTGCATTGCTTAAGGACATTCTATCAGTAAATGTGAATCTATATTATGTAAGGGATTTCACTATATAAAATCCCTTATTAATGGGTAATCTAACGAAGTATTGGTGGTGGGTCCAAACATTGCATTGAAAGACCTGAGTAAGGTTAAAGCAGTTGGGATTTAAAATATTGCTTATAGGGCGTTAAGGGAACAAGAAGCTAAACTGATGACATGGGACTATAACCATTTCAATAGGGGTGTTATAAACTGAGGGAGGTTATACACAAGTTTGGACATCGCTGACTTGTTGCATTAGTGTCTGTAGCAGCAATGCGTGATGACACTGCACTCAGTAACTTTCCACTGACTAGAGTCGGCGCAGTTATCTGTGAAACTATTGTGTTCTTTTGTTTATGCCCTAAGAGGAAATACATGACAGGCTCACACCCTAACTCTGTCTGAAATGTTCACTGAAACGTAAACTAGCCGGTTTCAGCTGCCTAATGGCCCGTCTGTGATCTCATCACTCAGGGCCATCGATTTCAAGTTCATGGCCGATTAGAACAGGACTGGACATGTAGCTGCACACAGAGGCCTTTAGAATAGTCTAACAAAGGGCTGTAGATGACTGATTCTGTCTTATCATCTCTGTCCTGAGATTGCTGTAAAGAGAAATTTGCAAAATTCAAATGCATCTTATGAAAAACGTGTAGATCCGAAACTAAATTTATCCCTCCCCCTTATTGTGTTATGTGCCTTGTAAATGAGGAACCCAATATCCACCTTTTGTTTATCTATTAATACAGAGAAGATACAGCCTAGTATATATTGGTGCCAAAGCTACATATTAGATTTTATAGACCATGTTAATCATTCAGTTCACGGGAAATCTTTCACCCTGGCCGCTTGCTAGAAGTATGACCTAGGACAGCAGATCACAACAATATTAAGGTTTTTGAGTCTATTGCAATGCATTAAACTGGCACCTCAGCTCCTACATCTCATCAGCTGTCTCTTGCATGCAGTGACGCGGTCTACATCTATTAATCTGTGTTGGACCAAAGGCATAGTTGTGTATGAATCTGCAATTTTTATTTCTATACTGAGAAGCCACTCGCTGTTTTTATAGACTTTGTCTGCTGGTGGGGTTTCATTCCTGGGAACAGCTTCCCAATGGTTTTATTTATTTAAAAGCACTTTTATATTGGGCTTTATTACTTTTCTGCATATAATACAGCAGGGTGTGTTGTAGAATCATTCTCTGCTGTATCACAAGGTGTTCTCAAAGTGTTTTTTATTTGGCAGATAATCCCATGGGTGAGCCATATACCTGTAAGAACACTGTCCCTGTTAAATAAATGGCACTCCCCTCTGTAAGAATTAACACAATGAAGCTTTGAAATGCTGAAATAATGCATTGCATGTTGGTCATGGGGCTCTCATCCTTACATTGCACGCACTGACATGGCTTCCATACAACACACAAACTTGCACACATGCTGACTTTGCATGTACAGTGAGAGAAAGTATTTGATCCCCTGAAAGAAATGATTGGTCAATCGCTATTAAAATTTTTATAGACCGAATTAAAGGAAAAAAGTCAGTTATAAATTGATTTGCATGTCAATGGGTGAAATAAGGGGGAAGAGGGTAGAGAATCTTAGTGTTTTGCACAAGGTGTCCAAAGCCAGTATTGGCCATATAAACTCCAAAGGCCAGGACTGCATGTGCACAGCTCTGAGTAAAGCTACATATAAGCTGGGAGCTGAACCACCAAACAATGATATCTAAACCAAATAATGTTAATGCAAAACAGAAGTCTGTGTGCGTGCATAGATTGGTCTAAATGAAGGACCCTGAGAGAAGGCTTTCACATTAAGTGAGGGGGGCCAGGGCTGCTCTGAAAAAAGTAGGTGACTTAACCTGGAATGTAACTAAAATCTAATTTGGAACTAGAACAATTAATCTTATTTTACGCACACTGACTTTCTAAACACATTTTATTGTAGTTTAAAGAACCATTGCTCTCAGTATGGCTGTGGAGTTCTGGTATACACTGACACAATACATAGTGCCTACCTAGACAAGGACACTTGGGATACATAAGGGATCTGGCCCAAAAAGAGGCCCTTTACATCCTGAATAGGGCCACTTGAGGGCTATTGGTCTGTTAACATGGAATAGTAAGTGGTTGTCTGTGATAAACTTTGTGCAATGTTGTAACACAATGGAATCTGCTGGCTTTGTATAATTTCAATAACTCTAGTTTTGTGCCTTTTGGGTATTTTGTGTTGTCAGCTGTTTTATAATAAACCTCTACATCACTTTCTTTTCTCTCTTTGTAGTTAAAGCTGGAGGAATGCGTGTTACAAAAAAGCAAGCTAGTGACAGTGGAGCCCCAGAGAAACATTTGAAGAAACCTGTTGTAGAAAGGCCAAGGTACATTCTAATGCAGCCTGCATTGGCTATCTCTTTAAAGGTTTCTTCCCTGGATAAACTCATGGCTGTTCACATTAGCAGCTTGGTTTTTAGTATGTTCAACTCTCTGCAGACATGTGTTGGGGTTTGTAGACTAAATAGTGAATTGGAAACTGCAAAATGCTATCAGATATGTCATGAAGGAGTGTTGTGGGTTCCTCCCCCCCCTCCCCCAGCTTGGTATACATTTTTGCAATCTGACTATTGATTTACCACTTGCTAAAGTTTAAAGCTTAAAAACATAACATTCTGGGGTAATGTTTCTAAAAGCTAGATATGTTAACTAGTTTTCGTGGAAATTGCTGCAGTTCATTTTAGAAGTAAAAACTATGACCAAAGGCTCAAACTATTCTTGTGATAACGGTTCCTTCATAGCAGACACTCTGTGAATCTTGTTCAGTTATCAGTTTTTTGTGATTAAGCTTTTATATTGCTATGGCGTTGTATGTTCGTTAGTGACACTTTGATAGCAGTCTGTCCTCTGGTGTTTATGAACCAAAACCAGAAGTATATGTAAAGCCGTGCTTTTCCTATTACATACAACTCTGCATAGCTTTAGGGTG